ATTTTTATTTGGAATTACAGCAGATTTGATGTAAGGACGTAGATTAGCATAATATTGATATGGCGATCATTATGGTTGGATTTATGCAGACGTTGAAAGACACACCGCGGCATTTTCGTCTACATTACTAGGTGAAAGTCCTACAACTCCCACTTCTCTGAATCAGCCCTATTCTTATAGCCCTTATTATATGTGCAGTTACTTATCCTATTTTATGAAATTCTCTGTAACTCACCAGTTATTTTGTTTCATCTCTTTAAGTCACCAGGGCACTTGTAATAATGAAAATTGTGACTGAAATAAGAATGTGGACAATATGCATTAGTTAAATGAATAAAAGAAGATTTTTAGGGCAGCACAATTTAATAAACATGTAATACATTTCAAACGTAATTTTATTTTTATTTTAAATCTTATTTTATTTTGTCAATATACAATGCGGTTGATTATTATGGACAATTACTGAACGCTCCCTCTCACCGCCATCACCCCCCTCCCTCCCAACAAACTCCTATCTGTTCGATTGCCATATCAACTTCAAGGAATAATTGTTATGTCTTCTTCCCTCCCCCCCAGTTTATTTGTTCATTTATTTATTTATTTTTAGCTCCCACAAATAGTGAGTACATGTGATATTTCTCTTTCAGTGCCTGACTTGTTTCACTTAATATAATTCTCTCTACATCTATCTATGTTGTTGCAAATGACAGCATTTCATTCTTTTTTATAGCAGAGTAGTATTCCATTGTGTAGATATACCACATTTTCCATATCCACTCATCTGATGATGGACATTTGGGCTGGTTCCAATAAAACTTCTTAAATAAAACATAGGAGAAACACTTCAGTAAGTAGAACGGGGCACAGACTTACTGAACATGACCCCTAAAGCATGGGCAACCAAAAGAAAAATAAATAAATGGGATTATATCAAACTAAAATGCTTCTGCTCAGCAAAAGAAACAATTAACACAGGTAAAAGACAAACAACAGAGTGGGACAAAATATTTGCAAGATATACATCTGACAAAGGATTAATTTCCAGAATATTCAAATGTAATTTTAAATTTTCTGGTAGCTGTGATAAAAAGAGCAAAACAAGCAGATGGAGAAGAACTCATGGAACGGAAGGAGTCATTCAATGAATCCAGAAACACAACTAAGAGCTTAAGGATCAGGCAAGAGCAAGCAAAATAAAGAATTTCTGATCTTGGAAACAATCTCTTTGAAGTAACTCAAGCAGAAAAAAAAAACAGAATATTTTTTTAAATGAAGAAAATCTAACAGAGGTAGTAGACAACCTTAATTGCACAAACATCCGAAACATGAGAAGTCCAGAAGGGAGGTGGAAGAAAACACCACTGAGAACATATTTGATTAAATAATACCAGAAAACTATCCAGGTATAGGCAGAGACACAGGCCTTCAAATTTAGGAAGTTTAAGGATCCATAGACAGATTCAATCCAAAAAGGCCATCTCCATGGCACATTAGAATCAAATTGGCAATACTGAAAGACAAATGGGGAATCCTAAAATCAGCAAGGGAAACGCATCAAGTCCCCATGTGACTAGCAGCTGGTTTTTTGAGAAGATAACCAAAATAGAAAAACCGTTAATAGCACTAACAAAAAAAGAAGAGAGAAGGCCCAAATAACAAAAATTAGAAACAAAAATGGAGACCATACAAACAATATCACACAGATGGAAAGAATCATTAGAGGCTATCAAAAACAACTATACAGCAACAAATTTAAAAACCTAAAGGAAATGGATAAATTTCTGGTCAAATGCTAATGACCAAGACTGAATCCAGAAGAAACAGAAAATCTAAACTGATTGATACTATACAAGACTGAAGAATTAATCAGGATTCTCCCAAAAAAGAAAACCCCAAGAATGAATGGCTTTACTGCTGAATGTTACCAAACCTTATAGAGGAAGGAATGCAATCTCTGTTCAAACTACTGCAAAAAACTGAAACAGAGGCTGTTCTCCCAGACTCATTCCATGAGGCCAGCATCACCCTGATACCAAAACCAGACAAAGGAACAACAACAACAAAAAAGAATACTACAGACCAATATCTCTCATGACCATTGAAGCAAAAATAAACAACAAAATGTTAGCAAATAGAAAACAGCAACACATCAACAAAATTACACACCATAATCAGGTAGGATTCATCCCAGGGACAGAAGGATGTTTCAACATATGCAAGTCAATAAATGTGATAAACCACATCAGCAAAATCAAGGACAAAAATTTTATTATCACAATAGAAAAACCATTTGACAAAATTCAACATCACTTCATGATGAAGACTGTTAGCAAATGAGGTATAGAAGGAAAGTATCTCAACACAATAATACCCATATATAACAAACCCACAACTAATACCTCCTGAGTGGGGAAAAGGTGAAAACTTTTCCCTTAAAAATGGAAATAATACAAAGAAACCCACTCACACCACTCCTACTTAAATAGTATTGGAACTACGAATCAGAGCAATTAGTCAAGAGAAAGAAATAAAGAGTAGTGAGACTGGAAAAGATGAAGTCAAGTTGTCCTTGTTTGCAGATGACATTGTCCATTAGATGGAAAAGCCCAAAGACTCTACAAAAAAAGCTTCTTAGAGTTGATAAATGATTTCAGTAAAGTTGCAGAATAAAAGGCCAATGTGCAATAATTAGTAGCATTTTTATACTTCAAAAATGAACTAGCACAAGATACAATTTTTTAAAAAAGGTCATTTACAATAGTCATATACACATAAAAAACTAGGAATCAACTTAAACAAGGAGGTGAAAAGATCTCCACAGCAAGAACTACAAATCACTGTTGAGAGAAATTAAAGAGGACAGAGAAAGATGGAAGGACATTCCCTACTCTTGGACTGTAAGCATTAACATTGTGAAAATGTTCATACTACCCAATGTGATCTACACATTCAATACAATCCTCATCAGAACACCAATGATATTCTTCACTGACATAGGAGGAAATAATCCCCAACTATCCTAACTTTCATATGGAACAACAACAGACCATGAATAGGAAAGCAATCCTGAGCAAAATTAATAATGCTGGAAGCACATGCTTTCCTGACTTCAAATTATAATACAAAGCTACAGGAACAAAACAGCATGTTATTGGTACAAAAGCACATATTTAGACCAATGAAACAGAAGATAGAACACAGAAATCAACCCATCAACCTACAGCTAAATGATCTTTGACTAGGCAACAGGAATGTGCACTGGGGAAGATACCCTCTTTAGAACATGCTGCTGGAAAAACTGGACATCCCTATGGAGAAGAAGGAAACTAAACATGTACCTCTCACCATATAACAAAATTAATTCAAAGTGGGCTACAGACTTAAACATATTCTACTTGAAACTATAAAACTTATGAAAAAGAACATAGGGGAAACACTTCAGAAAGTAGGACTGGGCAAAGACTTTATGAATATCATCTCTAAGCACAGGCAACAAAAGGAAAAATAAACAAATAGGATTATAGCAAACTACAAAGCTTCTGCACAACAAAAGAAACAATTAACAGTAAAAAGTCAACCTACAGAGTGGAGAAAATATTTGCAAACTATGCATCTGACCAAGGATTTATATCCAGAATATACAAGGAATTCAAATCTTATCAGAAAGAAAACAAATAACCCTATTAACAAATGCTCAATGGAGCTGAATAGGTATTTCTCAAAGGAAGATATACGAATGGTCCACAGACACATGTCAAAATTCTCAACATCACTCAGCATCAGGCAAATGCAAATCAAAACCACATTGATAGTTCCGGCCACTGGCTCACTTGGAAGAGGGTTGTGCTGATAACACCAAGTCCACGGGTTCAGATCCCTATATAGGGATGACCGGTTGGCTCACTTGGGAGAGCATGGTGCTGACAACACAAAGTCAAGTGCTAAGATCTCCTTACCAGTCAACTTAAAAAAAACCCAAAAAACCACATTGATATGTCATCTCACCTTAGTTGGTCTGGCAATTACTAAAGAATAACAAGTGCTGGTGAGGATGCACAGAAAGGGAAACACTCCTGCTCTGTTGGTGGGATTGTACGTTGGTGCAGGCACTATGGGAAAAGTTATGGGAGATCCTCTTACAACTACAAACTGATGTGCCAAGTTATTCAGCAATTCTACTGCTGGACAAAAATACAAAGGAAAGGAAGTCATCGTTTTGAAGGGGTACCTTACTCCCATGTTTATTACAGCTCTATTTACAATAACCAAAAGTTGGAACCAACCTCAATGTCCATCTTCATATTAGTAGATATTGAAAATGTGGTATATTTACACAATGGAACATGTAATGCATTTACACTACTCTGCCATAAAAAAATGAAATACTGCTAGTTGCAATGATATGAATGAGCATAGAGAAAATCATGCTCAGTGAAACAAGGCCAAAACAGAAAGAGAAACATCACATGTTATTATTCATAAATGGGAGCTAAAAAATGAACAAATATAAAAAAGAATGAAAGAAACAAAGGTGAAATAATAACTTGATCTTTCAAAAGGAGAAAAGAGAACAGAGGTTAGCAGAGGCAGGATGGGGGAGAGGGCGTGCGTGGAAAGAAGAAATTGGTAAATGGCCAGATCAATTGACTACATTTTATAATGTTGAATATATTAATTATCCTGATTTCAGCATCACATATGGCACACAAATATTGATATTCAAAAGAGTACCCCAGAAATATGTACAATCAACTATGTTCTAATAAAGAAGTTTTAATGAAAAATTTTTAAAAATTAGTTTTATTAATATATGGAAATAATCCTTTCTACAACATAACTTAAAAATGTAATCAGTGAGAAATTTATTAACATGAGATTTCTGCACTTTTATGTATATTAAGATTTCAAAATCAGAATGTTTTCTAAATCCACAGAATATCTTAATTCTAACTAGTCTGATTTCAGTAGTGAGCAACCATATGGCTATTATATATAAATATTTAATTTGTTATGGAGACCCCTCTTTTACAAAAGGAAGTAGAAGATGTCAGATTAGCCATTCTATTCTCTTTGAGACAAGGTAATTGTCTTCTTTGAAGGGGAAAAGTAAACTGGGAAAAAATTTTGTTATTTTTCATCAGTATGAATGGAAAGATTGTAGGGTAGCATGAAGAAAGAATTCCACTAATCTTTTCCAGTCTTAAGTTTTTCTCAGGTCTGTAAAGCAAATAAAAGGTCATAACGTTGTTTAAGCAATAAAAGAACACAAACAAGCTTACCAGTACTAGGATAGTGTGGGTGGCTTTGTATTCACGAGAGGTCTGGGAAGATATGCTGGTGTTGTGAAGATGCTGGGTTCTCCTGTGATGTCTGTAGAGGAGAATAACCATGTAGATGTTGGTCCAGATCATGAGGACCACAAATAGGAGGTCACGAATCACAATGCTGCTAAGAAATGATGATGAATCCTGGAATCCAATGTACCTTGTTTCACAGTAAACGTGACAATATCCTTGACCAAGCATGGTGAAATTGGTACTGGCTCCTACTGTTCCAATGATATTGATGTAGATCAGCATGTTGATAATCCAGACGAAAAGACAAGATAGAAAAATGCATGTGGAGAGTTTAAATTTAAGCCATGCCCATCTAGAACTATTGGGACAAATAGTGATGGCTTGAAACGTACTCAGGAGTGAGGTAGTACAGATGGAAAGACCCCGGGTCACTCTGTACATATACAAAACTGCTTTACAACCAACATCATCCATGACATGTCTTACCCCAGAGGAATGCGTGCTTTCTGGTATTAGTACAAACATGATGGTCAAGACATTGACCAGGGTCAGTTGTGTGAAAATCCAACCTATGGGCTTCTTCAGGTGAGACTTATTTAATAAGCTGTACATATATAATACAAAGAGAAATGAGTTCCCCATGAAACCAAAACAAATCTGAGACAGAAGAAGAAAAACAAAAACTGTGTCATTTAGAAACATCTTAATGACATTTGAGATGTTTTAATTATCCAGGCCTCCAATGATAAATTAACATATTATATAGTAAAATTATAAATAATGGAGCCTGTGGAAGAATATATTGATTGACAGTTCAGTATGAGAGGAGGATTTTGTAATGTCCAACTCCTTTGTATTTCAGGCCCAGATGTGGGATTTCCAGTGACTGGATTCGAGGGATTCTTGAGAACCATAGAGTAAAGTAGTTGGTGTTATGAGGAAGGAGACAGCCAAATACTAATGGTCTGCATTCTTGTGTATTAGTTAGTATACCGTGTTGACCTGTATGAAAGACAAATTTGCATTTTTAAGGCATATTTTCTACACTCGAGTATCTTATTGAATTGTGTCACTCAAACTATGTTCCAATATTTTAACCTTTCTAAAGAACCCTATGCTTCTAACACACAAACAGTAGCATGTATATTTTAATTTATTTTTAAAAGCTTTGATTGCATCCACAACTCTTTCAAGACAGTAATCATTTTAAAGAGTCATCTAAGATGTGTTTTCCAAATAAACCCTTTTTATTTTCCCACCCCAACACATGGGTCAATGAGTGGCGTTCAAAGATATTTTTGGTAATGAGAACTTGATGTAGAGCCATTGACATGCAGGGAATAGATGCCAAAATATCTGCAATATTTTTTGCAATGCTCAGAACAATCCCCACCACAAGGAGATTTCTGTCCCTTCATGGCAATCATACCATGGTTGATAAACCCAATCTGATAAAGTTCATGTATATTACTTATTGCAAATTATCTAAAATCCGCATTTTGTTCTGGACATTTTTTGTATGCTTATTTTAGGAACAGAATTAGTAGGTCCACACACAAAAAATAGGAATGATATGTCATTCATTAAGGTTGACATTTAAATTCATAATGCTAACATTTCAGCTTATATTTATTGGATTTTGGAGTTATTTACCATATCATTCTCTTGAAGACTCATTCTTCTACTCATTCATTTGTTTCTGCCATCAAATATAATCCTTCTATTCTAAATAAACTGCTACTGAGCGCTGTATATATCTCCTTTTATATAAAAACAATGTCCATAAGAGTATTCTGAACATACCAGGCTGTACTTTCCCCCTTTACGATAATGCTCTACTCTGGCATCTATTTTACCACAGCGAAGATATTCTCAATGCCTAGTGAAATGGAGGAACAACAAAAGTATTTATTGTACACACAATATGAGAGAATTATTCCTCCGTAATTTCTTTAACTCCCTCTTGCAACCCTTAGTTAATGTTATTTTACTGAACTATAAATGAATATACACGTTTGTGGGGTACAAAGATGACTCTCAATACTTGTGTACAATATGTGATGGTCAGATCAGGATACTTAATTTATTTGTTATGACAATGCATAATCATTCTAAAAGTCCATTAACCAATTTCTCATTAATTCCGATCCCCTATTCCCTACCCCTTTCCACTTCTAGTAACTATAGTTCTGTTCCATCCTTCTGAAAGTAAAATGTACTACTGTGATTGTTGCTCCTTTTTCTTTCTTTCTCTTTTTCTTTCTTTTTCCTTCCTTCTTTCCTTCTCTCTTATTTATTTATCTATTGGCACCCAATTATGGATGTTAACATGCAGTATTTCTCTTTCTGTGCCCAGCTTACATTTCACTTAAAATACTTTTCTGTAAGCTCAACCAAGCTGCTGTGAATGGCAGAATTTCATTCTTTTTTAAGGCTGAGTAATCTTCCACTATTCATATATACCACATTTTCCTTATCCAGTCATCCATCACTAGACATTTACGCTGGGTTCATATCTTGGCTATTGCAAATACAGCTGTGATAATGGGAGGGCAGGGATCCCTACAGCATGATGATGTCCATTCCTTTGGGTGTTTACCGAGTAGTGGGAGTGCTGGATATCACGGTAGTACTACCTGTAATTGGCCTGAAAGTTTTTAATTTACATTTTATTATTTTGAAGTGTTTGAAATTATGATACTTGAAATAGTTCACAATTGTTGACCATACTCCCCCTTTTGAAAATATGATGCTTAATATGTGCTGTGACAGTTTTAGGTTCACCTTAAGCTCTTTGACTATTCATTACTTACTCGGTTACTAAGGAGTGGCCTGTCTCACTCCATACTATTAGCCTTTTCATTTAGTCCATTTCTCTCCACACTTCCTGTGCCTTAACTTAGCAATCCATACTATCTCATAAGTATATCATGCAGCTCAATTCCCATGATATACTTTAATATTTATAGTTTAGATTTCTTGCTACTGAGGGCGAGAGAACATGGGTAACATGCCTGGCTCCCATTTGAACATAGCCAACCCCAAGTTAGCACCCTTTATGATTGGATAAATGTATGAATCCCCACTCTATGAAGAACAAAGAAAGAGTAAAAAACTTACAATGAAAAATGACACCATGTGGTACTGGCATAGTTACGTTTGCAGCAATTTTGATACATAATAAAATAATATCCTGAGGAGAAATACAGATAAACAAACAATTTCAAACTATAAGACACACACACAACAGAGCAACAGGTTGACCATGTGCAGAAAAAGCATATACAGACTGTGAAATAATGAAGGTAATATATCAGTCACATTTGATCAAGAAAATAATGCAACCAGAAGCTTTTTAAAGTAAGGAATCAGTATTTGAGGTTACAGATCTGTGGATCATGCTTTATTGAAAAGAAAGTCACTAAACTCACAATGCTTTTAAGTGGCGGCAAAGAAGGCCACTAAAGAGAGAATGAAAAAATATTAATTGCCATGAATATCTTGTCAACAATATTGGATAAAGGGGTAACTTGCGGAGATGTCTCTTAGAAGCTTCCACATCTGAAGAAACTGCAGCCAGGTGCATGTTTGTTGGATTGAAGCATTTAGTATGAAAAGTTATAGGTTGCAGTTAATTGGGACTTTTTGTGCCTGTCATTGAGTCTGGTTGCTATTATATTTGAAAAATTATAAGCATCTTTCAAATTTTTATTTCCCAAATGAAATCGAGATATGTTTGAACAACTTTATTCTGGAAATTTACAGGGAAAGGAATTCCAGAGAGTGTGGCTCTGAGCCACATAAAAGCACAGGCAACAAAAGAAACCATAAACAAATGGGATTATATCAAACTACGAAGTTCTGTACAGCAAAACTATCAACTGACAAAGCCAAAAGACAATGTGTGGAATGGGAGAAAATATTTGCAATCTATGCATCTGGCAGAGGAATAATACCCAGAATCTAGAAGAAACTCAAACAATTTAACAGGAGAAAAACAAATAACCTGATTTAAAAATTGGCAAAGGAACTGAGCAGGCATTTTTCAAAGGAAAACGTACAATGGCCCAACAGATGCATGTAAAAATTTCTCAGTATCACTGACCATCAGATAAATGCAAATCAAAGCTACATTAAGATATCATCTTATCCCATTTAGACTAGCTATCATCAAAAAGACAGAGAACAACAAATGCTGGTGAGGATGCAGAGAAAGGACAACCCTCCTACACTGTTGGTAGGACTGTAAATTTGTGCCACCATTTTGGAAAATTAAATGAAGATTCCTTAAACAACTGCAGATAGGACTGCCATACCATCCAGCAATTCCACTGCTGGGCATATACCCAAAGGAATGTAAAGCATCATGTCAAAGAGATAATTGCACCAACATGTTTATCACAGCTCTATTCACAATAGCCAGGAGTTGTAACCAACTTAAATATCCATCATCAGATGACTAGATAAAGAAAATTTGGTATATATCACAATGGAGTATTGCTTTGTCAAAAAAAAAAAAAATGAAATATTGACATTGACAACATGGATGAACTTAGAGAAAATAATATTAAGTTAAATTATCCAGGCAAGGAAAGAAAAATACTGTATGTTCTCACTCATAAGTGGGAGTTAAAATAATAAACATATAAATAAAAAAAAGAAAGAATGAAAGATACAGTGTTCACAATAATACATTGAACTTTAAAAGGAGAACTGAGGTTACTAGAAACAGGAAGGGAGAGGGAGGGAGGAACTGGTAAGTAGCCAGAAGTAACAATGACAGTGTATGTTATTGAAGGTAATAATTATTCTGATTTAAGCATCACATATTGCTCATGAGTGCTGATATTCAAATCTGTACCTCATGGACATATGCGATCAACTATGTTACACTAAAAAATTAAATTAAAAAGATAAAAGAAAAGAAAAGAGATAGTGTTAAGTAGAAAAATTAAAGTCGAACACTGTCCACTCATTTGTCATCTTGATATTCATGTCTGTCCATTTTACTTGCAAGAATATCAGCAAAATAATGCTTCTAAATACAAAAATGCAATGATCCCTCTCTCAGAGAATGGAAAATTTACAAAACCATCCACAAAAGTAATGACAGAAATATGTCCATATACTTTTATTTGTTTACTAGTATTCTTCTTAAAACGTTTTATATCTTGTAAATTAAATTCTGTTTTATAGCTTTTAAAACTATTAACATATCATATCAGAGTTCAGGAAACAGGAAGAATAGACAAAAGAAAAAGAATAGTGGTATCTTTCTAGATAGGTAGTAAAAGAGAATGATAATAGGCATCTATGTCTGTATCTACATATAAACAGAGACACATATACAGACACAGACACAGATTATGACATGGAATGCTAAAAAATATTTATGTAAAAAAAGCTAGAAAAGGTAAAATAGACAAAACACTAGCTAGGTTAACAAAAAGAGGAGAGCCGGCGCATATAATAAAAATCCGAAATGAAAAGGGAGACATAACATCTGATAACACAGAAATATGAAGAACCATTAGAGACTATTATAAACAACTGTACGACAACAAATATGAAAATATGAAAGATATGGATAAGTTTCCAGACACATAAACACTACCCAGAATGAACCAAGAAGAGATAGAAAATGTGAAAGGACCAATAACAAGCAATGAGATTGAATTGGCAATCAGCTGTCTTCTGACAAA